ATATAGGCAACTAGGCAATAAAGCATCTTATGCCAATTTTAACACACTATCTTAATATTGTTGGGGCAGGGAAAGTTAATTTTGTCACATTTTCAGTGTCTTTGACAAATTAATCTAAAATTGTTAAACTTGAGCTCTTATGTTCTGGACAATATTCTACCAATCGTTTCTGAAAGAATGCTGAATTCTAATAGAGTTATAGATCTTCAAAATAGGGGCAAGACATGTTTACTTTGTCACATCAGTTATTATTAGAGTTAGGTAATCGTCATCACATTAACATATATTCTTTTGTAGTTTGGATTGATTTATATAGGTAATAAAGCAGCCTTTAGCCTATGCTAATTTTTACACACTATCTTGAAATTGTTGGGGCAGGAAAAGTTAATTTTGTCACATTTTTTGTGACTTTGACAAATTTAACTATTTAACCTAAAATTGTTAAACTTGAGCTCTGATGTTCTGGACAATATTCTACCAATTTTTTGAAAGACTGTTGAATTCTAATATAGTTATAGAATAATATATAGATATTCAAAATAGGGAACAAGACATGTTTACTTTGTCACATCAGTTATTATAAGAGTTATTATAAGAGAATATTTCATTCTATAACCTATTTACGATTTCGTATAATTTTTTGTGACAATGTAAACGTCAACTGATCTTAACTTGCATCAACTACATTGTCATCATATAAAGTTTTTCCGCCTTTCAAACCAAGATCAGATATAAATAATTCGCCCAAAATTTAAAATTCCATATATTGTGACAGAATTAACATCATTTCCCAATAACCGAGTGCCTGTATTAGCTAACTATTCAAAACAACATATTTTAGGGCTATGATTGGTATATCAACCATCAAATAATGAGTTAAAAGGGTTTTGAGGACACCTCACAGTAGAATAGAGGTATGGTATTCTGAGTGTGACAAAGTTACCCAAATATTGCCTTGTAACCGTTCGATCCGTGCCCTTTAATCAATGTTGTATCATAATTGTTAGATTGACCTAATCTACTATATTTCAGACCAAGGAATGATAATAAGACAACTGCAGTTAACTAAGTCACACAAAATGTGACATTTGAACCATTATAGTGCCTAACAACAATAGATTTTCTTTCTGAGCAGTACATATGGGAGTATGGGTAACGTGGCTAATGTTCTGAACTTCTGAACGTGCTAGGTTAATAGATGTCAAAATTAAGCCACTATCGTCGAAAACGCTATTATTTTTGTTTACCAATATCCTCAAACTCAAATGAACGTGTCCATAAATCAAACACTGATAAATTTGCTGAAGTCTTGGGTAACAAACTAGACAAGAGGAAGTGTGTCAAACAGTATATATTCATTCAATTAAATCAAGTGATGCAATACAAACCAGACAATGAACCAATTATAGATTTTACTAACTTTCATGATATCTTTAAAAACAGCATTGACGAAACCTGCAAACTAGCTGTACCCAAAACCACTAAGCGCACTATCCAGAACAACCCCTAGATTACTGGCGGGATTATAGCCTCAGTAAACCACTGCCATGGACTGTATGATGACTGGGCGAAAGTCAGGAAAGTTAAGTGTAAACAAGGCGAAACTGACACAAAAGGGGGCACATGCCTGTGTTCTATCTGCTGTAATAAAAGATACCGTTATGATGACTACATATAGAAATATAGAAAGGCTCTAAAAAAGGTTCGTTAAAAGGCTGTATCTGAATATTATTCTGACAAGTTTCTTGAAACTCAGGGAAACTCCAAGAAAACCTGGGAACTGATAAATAAAATTCGTGGCAAACAGAAACGTGATATCAGACCTATATTTACCATAGACAATGAAAAGATAACTGATCGCAGAGTTATAGCTAATGAATTCAATATAAGTATTTTGTATCCCTAGCATCTAACCTTAATGCAGCCTACACAGAACTAGGAGAGATACAAATAAATCAGCTTCCAAGTTTCTGTGACTTCTTACCTAAATCGAATAGAGCTAATATATATCTACATGACTGCTCACCTGAGGAGGCTAATATAATGTAACTTGCCCAAGCGATAATCATGTTATTGCATGACTCCTACATTTAGGCTGTGATTAAGAGGTAAATAGGGGTGTGATAACCTAAGACTAGGAGGGTACAAAATTACGGCCACGGTCCTTTTAAGTTTCGATTGTTTAATATTTAGCTGAAAATACGACACCGATAATAGGTAAATACCGATTAAACGATTGGTATTGGTCAATATACTCACCATGTATAATTAATCTCAGCAATAATGGATACTAATCCAAACAGCCGGCCTGGTAACATAGTAATGTATCTCTTGACATATATTAATGATATAGAAATACGATATTTTGGGGAAATATGTTATGATCGGCCTATGCTGCTCAGAAGTAGAACCTAAATAGTCGAACAAGCCTATTAAACCAATTTCAACATTCAACAACCACTTCATAAATCAATGATTGAAAATTGAAATATCAAAATTGGACAGTGATCTTGACTTACCCTTATTATATGGGCCTTATAGTTATACAATATATATATATATATATATATATATGTACATATATTAAATCAGTTTCTGTATAAAAGCATTTAAACCGGCGTTGACAGTTTTGAAGTTACTGTAAAAGAGGACATTAGTTTCTAGTAACTGAACTAACTTACACAAACTCAAACAAGTCAGTCGAGTTTCTGTATTTGCTTAATAAGCTGGTAATCGTACCGTTCCCAATGTAAATGAAAAGATTCCTGACCTTCAATTTGCTGAGTAATAGATCATACGGAATTAATGAATTAAATGGTTAAAGCCCAAGATTGCTTAATTACTACAAAACACAACAGGTTCTTAGTTCTAAAACGACAGCTGTTCCATGTTCTATCAAAATTGAGAAGAAACGTAACTAAAGCTCAAAAGATAGATTCTTGATATCTCTTCTGTTACGAAAATCAGCTGGTTCATAAAATTAATAAAGAGATTCGCATGCACGATTTAAAATAAAAGTAGAAACGTAATCGAAAGACAAACTGAACAAATGAGGATTTCGTCTTGAAACGAGCTATATATAAGAGTATAACGTAGCGCTCGACTCCAAATAGAATTCAAATAAAAATGCGCTCCGGTAGTTTCAACTCCCAGCAGCTGGGAGTTGGAAACCTGGAATTCACGTTACTGTCGCTGTGAGAAGCCTTATTGAGTGCGCGGCGCGGCACAGTAACGCATCGCGCTACGTACAATTTTTCCAATATTTTGATCAAAAATAATTTTTATTTGGATTTCAAAGTACGCACTACGCCGCGCAGTTAGAAATCGTAATTAAGAGATTTGAGATTTAATCATTATTTTCACAAGTGAGTCGATATATTGCAATCCCATCTCTTTTCGCTGCTGCTCACAGCATAGAGCTTCAATGCTCAAACCGTATATCTAGTTGATAGTAAAGTAGTATAGAAGTAGTAAAGTAGTATAGAAGCTGTTTCGTTGCACATCGAAATACAGATATTACTAAATGATCTTGAGAGGTTATTTAATGTAATCGATTTAGTGTTACTGCCTTTAAGCTGTGATGTGCTGGAGACTACTAAAACTTGTTCTAGTATAGAAAAGCACAGCGGATTTTGCTATCATGTTACACTTTTGTAGATCAGGATCGAATTTGAACGTATTACTCCCAAACAGATTATTTCAATCCTTCATTATATGGAAATATCGATAACCCATTCGAGCCTTTTTTTAAATGTGTTTATGTTTTTGAAAAAGTATATTATTGTGATACTTCCATGTATTAAATCGTTTAAATGGTATGGTAAAGAACAGTACACAGATACTTATTCTTTGATGCCCCGAAACACATTCCTAGCTCTAGATCTGCCTTACATTTCAATAATGGCTCTTTCATCACATTTGCTTGATAACTGCTGATTTGTAATGCTTAAAATTGATCCCACTCAGTTTGACTATCTTAGGTTAGCTGTAATATCGAACTCGACAGTAGCTTCCTCTGTCATGTCGGAGATCTCAGGAGACGACTGGGTATTTTGTGTCAAGAAGAGGTTAACCTCCCACTTAACACGAAACAAATTTGAATTTTGATCTTTATTACAGATTAAACATATCATATATAACCATAAAAGCCGCGCGTCGGCTGATTGCTTCAACTTGGATTGGTAGTAATTTCAGTTTACAGAAGCTGAAGGACGGCAGCTCAAAAGCCCCAGTGAACCATCGGAAAGATCAAGGACTCGAGTGCCAATAGTGGCTTTTTCGAACCCATTTTCGCCGATTTGCTGTGGCCCAGATGAGCCGCGCCCTGCTGCTTAACGGCACATGGTGGTTTTTGTTTAAATACTTATTTAAATTTAAGCGATAATTCATTTGGTGGTTTACAGTTTTTGAATCATGTTCATCATTTATTTTTCGTTCAATTATCACGTTTTTACAATTCAGTATGCATAGTCAACATTGTTGAGGCAACCAGCTTCCGCAGTTCAATAATTGGAGACCGAAAAATATAAATTGATCGAAATTTACAATTCATCGTTATCAAATATAGTCAATAATAATCTTGATTCCATTTAGTACATAATAAGTTGGTTTTATTCTCTTGCAACACTACTGCACAACAAAAACTGCGCCTGTCCACCAGCAACAGCGCAGTCATAGGTGTGCAGCCAAAGCTAGGCCACACACCCATGGCCGCGCCGGTTAAACAACTCTATATTCAATCGTTATATTAGGAAATTTTAGTTAATTCTTTGATCACTCTTCAGTGCCGGTGGGCAGGCGCCCCGCATAGTTGGCTTTCCAAATTTACAGTCTCAAGAAAGCCGATACGGTAATCGAGTCCCGGAGCAGAACACACATTTAGAAAATTGAAAAATTAAAATTAAAATAACAAATTAGAAATTAAAAATTAAAAATTACATGACTACGAGAGTCCAGACAGGCGACAAACACACAAACCGGACGAAGAGAGGACCCACTGCTGAATTCGACATATAATGAATTGTTGAAAACATAATGATTCCTACACTAATATGATCTTGAGGCATGCCCTGCATGTACTGTGCGAGTACATTGTAAATAATATCTGATAAGATGGGCCAAAAATAGCGGCACAGCGCGCAAAATGCGCGGCGTGACCGCCGAAATTTTATACTTTAGACATTAACATTTCAATCGGCTTTAGCGCTCAGCATATCTTCATTGAGTAGACATTAGAATTTCAGTTCGTTGGAATCGAAGTTCAGTTCACACCAATCTATTTCGTCGTACCTGGACTGCATGCCGAGTAACTCCTTTTTTATTGTGGATTTCACAAGGTTCGTTGATGTAGAGAAGTTGATATTGCTAGCAGTGTTTCTACAATCGTTCCACATTTTTGTCGATTGATATATGAAGGAGGTGGATGGGGTTGGAGTGATGAATCGATCAGCACGTCTTGATGATCTGTTAAATAGATTTAGGAGTGGGACTGGGGATTCTAATTTATTGATTTTGAACATTTCCAATAAACATGTGTGTTTGAACAAACTGTGTATGGTTAGTAAACCATTTTTCTTAAATAGCGGTTTTGTGTGCTGTTTTTCATAGAAGTCGCTTCCTAATTTTTGCTTGTCTTTACTTCGTGTTCTAGCACAAGTTCTAAACTTTTCTAAGTACGCCTCTCGGTTACCAAATAGTATTCTAACACATTTCTTCTGAGTGATAAATATTGGTTCAAGCCTGTTGTTACTAAGGCCACCCCATACTGATATCCCAAATCGCAAGTGTGATTCAAATAGTGTGTAGTACAGTTCTTTGTAGAGTTTTTCTGGAATAATGTGCCGTATTCTACAAATTTTCCCACTTTCACATTTCAGCTTTGTGTTGAGCGACCGTATATGAGCATCCCATTTAAGCTGATCATCAATAATAACACCAAGAAACTTCACCTTTTTGACTTGCTTTATTACTACATTGTTTAGAGTAAGTACGTGTTCTTCTTCATTATGTTCTACCTTGCTTTTTCTATTCGTTGGTTTAAAGTGAATGTAACAGCATTTCTTAATGTTAATATGCAGGAGATTACATTTCATATACAGTTGTACCAGTTTGAGAATTTGGTTTGCTCGTTCATATAACTTTATCTTACATTCATCCGCGACAAATATATTTGTATCGTCAGCAAATAGAATGAACTTGCCTAGTTCAGTTGCCCTATATAGGTCGTTGATATAAATAATAAATAGTAACGGACCAAGACAAGATCCCTGGGGTACTCCAAAGAGAACTGGAAGCTTGTCAGACTCTTCTCCTAGGACCGAGACGTATTGATATCTATTAGAGAGATAACTAGCAATGAGTTTGTTGGCATTGCCTCGAATTCCGTAATTATCTAGCTTACTCAGTAATTTGTCAGCTGAGATGGTATCGAATGCTTTGCTTAGATCAATGAATATTCCGAGCACGTGCTGCTTTTTATTAAGGCATGATTCTATATAATTCACTGAGAAATTCAGGGCATGACTAGTAGAGTGATTTTTACGGAATCCATACTGATTTTCATAGATCATATTTTGTGACTGGAAAAAGCTGTATAGCCTACTATATATAATTTTCTCGAATAACTTACCAAATACGGCTAAGGTAGAGACTGGTCTATAGTTTTCAAGTAATTCTTCATTTTCTTTCTTGTATATGGGACTGATCCTGCCAATCTTTAAATCGTCCGGGAATATTCCCTCCTTCAAACATTCATTGTATAGTACAGATAATAGGGGGGCGATAATTCTGGATGACGCTTTTACAACATGTATTGGGATATCAGACGATTTGCCATTTTTCAATTCTGATATTATTTTACATACTTCATCGATTGTACAATCATGCATGTAAATACTGGTCGTGTTGGATTTTGGTAGGTAGTCATAGATACTGGGGATGCCATTAATTAATAGTTCGCCGATTTCATTGTATGCCTCGTTAAGATTAGAAGCTAGGGAGACAAAGTACTTATTAAACTCATTAGCTATTACCCTACGATTAGTAATTTTTTCATTATTGATAGTAAATAGAGGTTTGGTTTGTCGTTTTCGTTTACCCCGTATTTGGTTAATTAATTCCCACGTCTTTTTACTGTTTCCGTGCAACTCTGCAAATTTTCCACCATAGAACTTAGATTGAGCATTGCGGCGATCTTTTTGACCTTCCGCCTGCAGTCACTGTATTTTTTATACTTGTCATGTTTTGAGCAACATATTGGGCATTGGCATGTCCCCCCTTTATTTTCAATTTCCCCAAATTTACATTTAACTTTTCTGACCTTTACCCATTTATCGTAAAGTTCGTGCTGATATGAAATTTTGCCCACAAGGTCTGGTGTAATCCATGGGTTGTTCAGTGCTGTTCTTTTAGAGCATTTAGGGGTTTCTAACTTACAAGTTCTATCTATACAGTCCTTAAATATGTCGTGAAATGTTGTAAAATTGTCGATAACATTATTATTGAGATCATGTTCCAGAGTCTGTAAAAAAGCTTTTACATTCGGTTTGTTGTAATCATAATACTGTTTGTATTTCAGGTCAATTCTGCTAGAGTCCAAGTTTCTATCAAAGATTTGGAAGATGGGTGAGTGGTGTGATATACGGTCAGTCAGTATTCCAGAAGCTACTATACTCTCTACGTCGTTAGTTATTATGTTATCAATACAGGATGCTTTGCAGCCTGGTTTCTCATGTGTTGCTAACGAAATTAGGGGGAAAAATCCTTTACTTAATAGTATTTCTTCATAGCGTTGTACGATTGTGCTATTCTTATCGTGTAAATCAATGTTAAAATCACCCGCTAGGTAACTACACTTGGGGAGACTGTCAAGGATGTCAGAGAGTTCAGATAGTGCAACATTGACATTACCACTTGGAGGACGGTACATTACACCAACTGTTACTGGGGAAGTTGTACTACTTACGGCCACAAAAAGAGTTTCTAAATGTTCAGTGATATGGGATACATTGCCGTTTACTCTGGCACTAAGAGTGTCACAAACATAGAGAGCCACTCCAGTGCCCTTTTTTTTATCTGGTATTGTGTTTTGGTAGAAACTGTTGTATCCAGTTAATTGATACAAACTGCTGGATTCAGGACCTTCATTTGTTTCCGCTAAGGCTATGATCGAGAATTTCTTGGTGAGCCTATGGGATTCAATAGCGAAAGTGTCGAAATTTGACTTATTGCCGTCGATGTTTTGGAAGAGAAGCGATGAAAATTCATTCATTTGATTATCTAGTGCTTTGTTGAATTCCTTGACATTGTACGATACGCAGTTATTTAGTATTTGATCTACTTTTATGATAGTGTCATCCACTTCACTACTTTCAATATCACTTAAATTAGTGCATGCAAGTCGAAATGGATTGTAACGAATAACTGCTAAATGTACGCACTTGGGACAGTAAAAATCGTCAGATAATGTGTCATTGTTAATGGATTTGGTATAGCACTTATGGTGCATTGGGCAGTCGCATTCACAGCATTCAACAATGAATTGTCCTACGTTAATGAACTTCGCACAGACTAGGCATACCTCTTTACTCAGGGGAGTCAGAATGGCTGGTAACCATCCTGGTGTCGAGACTCAGCAGCAGTAGTAGAACCCGTCCCACTCAACACGTTCCGATATGAGCGTCCATCAACCTCGTCTGTTCTCCTTTTCCTTCTATCAACTCCTCCATTCATTCTAAGAAGCACTGTGTTACGAATCAAAGTGCCTAGTTTAGCTGTACCCCTCCAGTTAAGGTGGAGATAATCTGGTCGCTGGTCTCGGCCGATGTTTCTGGAGAACTGTTGGCTAAGAAGCCCAGCATCATCACAGAACCCACCGAACCCATCAACGTAAGTCACACCAAAATTTGAAGGGATCAGCTCTGTCAGAATAAGGCGGTTAAAGCAAACAACTTTTCTATTCAGTTCAGCAAGCTTTGTAGGCAGGGCTGGACAAACATATACATGTGCCTTAGGGTTAATAGCATGAATTTTCTCAATCTTTTTAATTAAGGGAATAAATACATTTCGTTTAATATCAGCTGTATTCTTGATCTCAGGTTTTTTAAGATCATTAATCGCACACATCAAAACAACGTTACGATAACCACATGTGACATATGGGTCAATCTGGTCAACCACTGGTGCAAAATATTGCCTCCCAGGGAACCATTGTCCAAACGATTTCCTGGCATCTGACCCAAACTTAAGCCCCCCTGTATGACTGTCTCCTATGATGCACGTAGAGTTCTTGTTCCTGAAGCTAACTGAACGAAAAGTTAGGCTGTATCTGACCCCACCAGTTATTGCCCCATCCATGATACAGTGGCTGTAATACTCTTGGCTACTTCGTGTCATGCGATACATGGATCTTGGAACACATGGGTGGTCAAGGACTATATCATCCGTCTTCTTGTCAAAGAATTTGATGCTGCACTGGCCTCCGATGGACACAGTGAAAATTTCGGATTCGGGGTGGATGGTGGCTTCATCATCCGAATGTTTTGGTAGGGAGCCATCCTCTTTGAAGCGGTTGATCAGCAGACTATTGATCTTCGGTTTCTCACCACTACAGAATGCCCCATTGATTTTGTCCATCAGTTTGGAGAAGCTGGTTGACTCTAGCTGACCATTGGGTGACTTGGAGCCATTATACTTGTATGGTTCTCCCAGAGAATACACAGCACGAGCTCCTTCCACAACAAAATCCTCGTCAAGTGATTGACAGGCAAGGAGGAGAAGATCCTGCTCTTCTGTGGTGATAAACTCTTCTATAGCGCCTACAACTGGTTCTTCTCTTGATTTGAGATGCTCATTAGCTGTTAGGTCTGGGCCAGGGGCAAGTGAAGAATTGGTAAGTTGGGCATTTAAATGGTCAGAAGAAGCCAAAGAATTTTGCTCAAGAGTGTTCAAAGACTGTCTAATGGCTGTTAGCTCCTGATTCGTCTCCAGAGACTGCTTGGAATTTAGCTCCTGCAGATTCTTCTCTATTTTTTCCATGAGATCGTTGGTCTTGGAGGAAGATTGAGCACTTACTTGAGGAGTAGAAAAGTCCTGCAGTTGCTTGTTCAAAACTTTAATCTGTTCTGTTAGGCCACTATCAGACTCAGAAACCTTTCCGAGTGTAGAGTCAACTGAAGTTTTCAGCTGCTTTAGATCTCCTTCCATCACTTCAACCCATGCTGGAGCAGTGCCCTTGTCACTTACCAGTAGGTGCTTGATATGGAGGTCAAGGTTCTGGATGGCAGCAATGCTGTCGTTTAGACTGTCAAAGTCAACCTTTGCAAGCTTTTCACCAAAAGCTGTGATGGTATTAAGCTTCTCTGTGGCAATAGCAGTCTCACACTGACTGTTAGATTTTTGAAGTGTCAGAGTGTTCCTACACACATAACACACATCTTCAGCAGTTTCGAATGTGGGGATTGGTGAAACCAAACAAAAAGGGCAGTGCCAATTGGTCATGCTGTTGACATTTTTCTGGTTGAGTCCATTCATAGTTAGACAGTCTATGTGCCAATATTGCTTGCACTTTACACAGTCAATCTTCCATGACGATATTGACTTACTACATGGACATTTCGTCTTGTCCCTGTGTGAACTGTCAAACTTTGGGGGTGTTACATCACTGTCTACAACAATAGTTTCACAAGATACATCCTTTCCCTTCGCCTCTGGTCCTGGAGTGTTGTTCTTGATTCGGGACTTTGCCTTTTTGTCCGCAGGGGAAGGAATCCGAGACATATTGGTGATAGATGAGGCTCTCTTGTTACTCTTGTTGTTGTCACCCATACTCAGCAAACGTTAAAACAAACAGCCAGCAAAAGTCAAAACAATCAGCTGTTAAGGCAACGTGTAAACTTACTGCACCCCTTTGAGGGAATTACGACATACTTTCCCTCAAATTATTTGTTATATAGCAGCGTTGAAAGTATTAAAACTATTAACTACTAATATACCCCTCCACCATACTAGATCGATTTTAAGTCAGCCAAGGCATAATTACTGCCCAAAAAGCCTGTTCCAAATTTGTCTCAATTCTGTTCCAGAATCCCAACTTCTCTGAAACCAAAATGGAACATTGCCCACAAAGCCTTTTCTGAGGATGCTAAGGCCACCAAACTTTTCAAGGACACTCCTGGTATCGATACCAATCGATTCTGATCGCCTTCAACTCAGTTTAGGCGATTTTAGGGTAAAGTTCATTTTTGTTCATTTCATGAACCAGGGGATCATTTTGCACTAAAAAGGTTTTTTTAAAGTTGAACAAAAAATGTCACAATTTGATGTGTGAAAATAGTGCTTTCGATGTGAAACTGGATGATTCAATTGTTTGTGTCAATTGTTTCCACCATCTCAACTACTCTGAAACCAAAATAGAAACATTGCCCCAGAGCCCTTTCTGAACATGCTAGGCACACCAATTTTTTGTTTTAGCCCAATTCAGGGGATTCTAGGAAAATGTTCATTTTTTGTTCATTTCATTCATTCCATGAACCAGGGGAGTAATTTGCACTTCTAAGTGGCTGGAAATGTTAGTACATGTGTCCTTCTACCATACCAGATAGATTCCAAGTGGACACGTTCAAAAAAAGGTGGCACTAGAGATTGATTTTTTTTAAATGAGTTTTAAAAATGGTCATTGCTCTTTGTTGGTTGATATATCTATCTATACCTTTAGAAATTCGATTAAATTTCATGATCCTGAAATCATGGAGTCTGTAGTGCTTATATCACAGGAGTTATCGTTATTTGTGTGCCAATGATTCAAAAATCACACAATTAGAAATGCAAGATGAATCAACACTAGATAATCTGAAAAGTACTATTCACAAAGACGCCAAAATTGATATGGTGACTATAATGCATGTAAGGAATAAAATGTCTTATCTGAAATTGTTATTGGTGCCAAAATGATTCAAAAATCACAACTTAAACATTGGAAATGAGCCTATTTTGAGCAGTGATTATTGAATCATCTTACGTTTTTATTGGCTTTCTATCATTTTTTAGGGTACAAAATAGTATTAAATAGTATTAAAACCAGTTAATATGATTCAAAAATCACATTTTCGTTATTGGTGCGCTATTAAGTCTCACTATAGTAAGCCTTAAATTAAGTGCACAATATGACAACATATATCCATTCTATGGTTCTTATTATGTGATTTTTGAATCCATGTCTAAGCTTATACCATATTGAAGGCCTTGAGCGATAATTTTTGATCTGGGTGGTTAAATGATTCAAAAATCACACAAATCTGGCTACCAACTATGTAATTTTCTTTAAAGTATGACAATTGAATCATATGTAATGTTCAAGTTGTAATGACATTTTGAAAAGAAAGGTAATGAATCGATAATCACATTTCAAAAATTCAATTAAGTATTATACGTAACTGATTGATTCATTTGTCACAGTATGGAGACAAAATTATCATGGCTTGAGTAGTAAAAGTACTTGCCTAGTTTAATCAGTTTAAAATTCAGTGTTTTGTGATTATTGATTCCACTATTACTCTAATAACGAACTTCTCCATGACCATAAACAAGTGCAGTGTCACAACAAATTACTGCAGATTTACTATGAATACCAACCTGATATAGAGCCAAAAAGTGATGTTGTTGTTGGTGAACCAGTATTTCTGGTACCCATAGGGGATTTGAAATCAACTTATAAATCAAATGTCATTCCTCAAAGTATCATAATCAAACCCCGGGCGAGTCCAAAATTAGAAACCTGAGTATTGATTCATATGAAATATGAATATCTCTTTAACGATAAAATTTCCTGAACCAGATCTGACTCGCTATGTCTGTTCAGACATGTTTGTCTGCCAGATCGTGGTACCTTCATTGCCGTGCATTGAAATCACACAAATAACACACAAAGCTAGAATCACGGCAAATCGACATTCATCGCTTTTTCATCGGAGTACTAATGGACAGTGTTCAAATGGACAGTGTACATTTCCCCTGATACAGCATCATTTCAATACATGCTCATTTATGTGAGTTTTTGACTCATTATGGCACTTTTAACCATCTAAATTCTCTAATATTAGTTAGCATGATATAATTGTGATTGATAGAGTTCATTGTTACAATCATTCCGTTGATATATTCATATCCACATTCATCATTCTAAAATACTTAGTCAGAATTAACCCTGTATGTGATAATTGCATCGTAACTCCACATTTAACCGGTGATTCTTTGCCACTTTTAACACTCAGCTATCTCAAAAAGGTTCAAATAAATCACATTGAGAAGCAGGACACACTCACAGAATGTAAATTCATCATTAGAGGTGCAAGAAATGAATATTTTGTGATTTCTGGCTCATGTCTGCACAATTAACAGATATAAAGAGATGAATGACTTTATTATGTGACATTTGAATCTTTTTGGACCACATTAAAATTTGGTTAACTTTCATAGCATACTCCTTGAGATACAAGTATTTTAAAATGCTTCACACAATTTTGGCAGTGAAAATCAATCTCTAGTGCCACCTTTTTATGAACGTGTCCAAGTCAGTACAAGCATAAATACGGCTGTAAAAAGCATGTTTCCCAAAATTGTATCAAATGTTTCCACCATCTCAACTACTATTTTCATTTTTGTTCATTTTCCATACATTCCATGAACCTGGGTAATGTTATTTGAGTTTTTGATGGCTCTTAGGCCTAGTTTTTACCTACATCCATCTTAGAAAACCGAATTGAGGCTTCCCAGCACTTAAATACAGCCAATACTTCGATGTGCCCATGTTCTGGATTCTCAGGGAGGATTATTGTGCCAAAATTGGGACATTTGGAACATTGGTAACATCGGTTCTAGACATGCAAATGATTCTCAAACTTGGTTGAGTGGTCCTAGGACTAATATAAACACCTTTCCGACCCATTTTTAAACCATTCTGAGCACTTTGAGAAGAATGTTCATTTTCGTTCATTTTCGTTCATTTCTGGTCATTCCATGGGTAGTTTTATACGACTTTTTATGGTTCCTAGGCCTAGCTTACGGCTATATTCATCTTAGAAATCCGAACTGAGCCTTCCCAGCACTCAAATACGGCCCAATACTGTGATGTGCCCATGTTCCAAATTTATGAATTCATCTACTGCATCTTCTGATGGCGGCTGGCGCGAATTCGATTTTCGGTAAAAAACCACATCAGTTTTCAAATTTGAGATATTTTTAGCGCGCGGCGCGCGCACTGCGTGTTAAATTTTAATTTACGCCAGCTAGCAGGTGTCAGATTTACTGGTTATAATTGTGGAAGTCCATCTATGTTTATTATTAATAATTTTTGGTTGGACTATTTATTTTCCCAGGAAACTTTACTCACGTGCAAAAGACGAACTCTAAGAATGGAGAATAACGGCAGTAGACAGCAGTAACTTCCCCTGTACTCAACGACATCGAACAATAGACATGAAATGACTCGCTGACCCCCTACAAAGTACTTGTGCTCGGAGGCCCGAATTTGCATCGTTTTGGTCGAGAGATTTCAAGGGTAATGATACAGTTAAAACTGTATAAAAATACCTCTCCAAAACAACTTTCTCCTGGTCGGCCATGTCCCTCATCTGCACTTGACCCCTGCAGAGTCACAAGAACATCCGGAGCACAACTGAGCGCAGAATCGGGGAGGGAAGCCTTAGCACCGGTGTCAAGGACTGCATCACTAGCACCTACCCTATTGAAACTCTTGAAGGTTAAAAGTAGGGCATCTTCTACGCAATCTGCGGGACCCACCTCCTAGCAGCGAACTACGGATATACCCTCCCTATTACATGCGTTCAACCGGCACCCGAACCACACGCTGTTTCTTAGACACAACTCCCACTTAATCAGTGTCCATACCACCCCCCCCCCCCCCCCCCTGTCGCATCAACCTTGCATTCGGCAAGTGGCGACACTGTGTAGGACTCTACCCTGAGCTTTGATCAGTATCTTAGTCACAAACCTGACACCTTTCCTGGGCATGAATACGGTTTTCTGTCAGGCTCCCAGCAGTTTCTCTGGACCACCAATCAGATCTGACAATCACCCGAGGATACCTGCCAGAGCTCGCAATATACGACGAGTTAGCTTATGGCCCTCTGGCTGTGAGTGAAGTCATAAGCTCAAACAGCTCTCATCTCCCATTCTCTCTTCCTAGACAAAGCAGACCCTGGGAGATACTCCTCTAGCCGGACGTCACGTGTGATGTACGAGAAACTACGGACAGGTGTGTACCTATACTTTTTAAAAATTACACATTCGTCTGGATTGTGATTCAACTTGCAAAAACAAGTCGGCAGGTTCCAAATGTAGAACTTATAAAAATTTAAATGATTCATGGTTAGATTATACGGCCTAAGCGGTATACAAATAAAGCGTTATTATTATTATTGCCTCTAATCCTCAGGGTACTCCTACTTGCGTGCGAAAGACAAAGGCAGCAAGAATCGAAGAACAGAACCCCGACCACACTGCTTGTGAGAAATGAGCAGCTCTTGATCTAGGACAAAAAACTTTCTTCTGTTTAATATCTAAAACGTGTTACGTGTGATATTACACCAACTTTTGATTAATAATACGAAACTGTATACCTTATAAAGTATGATATTTAAACACGAAATTTACATTCTGAAATTGGTATAGTGTTCCTTTAACTGTTCCTTCAACTTTCATCGTAGCTTTTTTCAAATATTCTTCAGTGCCATCAACAAACAGATTTTTTCATTTGACTGAACTGTGCCATATTTGATATTGCCTCTGTATTTTATAGGGAAAATTTTTTAAATCTTGCAAGTTGATGTAATTAAGTTTTAAGTTAACGTATTATAGATTGTTAACACTAGTTTATGTTTCAGTATTTAAATTGTTTCCATTTATAGTTTAACCGATCCCTGATGTAGAGTTATCA